TATCATTACCATACAGTATTACATCAACCTACAATATATCATTACCATACAGTATTACATCAACCTACAATATATCATTACCATATAGTATTACATCAACCTACAATATATCATTACCATACAGTATTACATCAACCTACAATGTATCATTACCATATAGTATTACATCTATTTACAATGTATCATTACATTAACCTACAATGTATCATTACCATATAGTATTACATCAACATACAATGTATCATTACCATATAGTATTACATATATTTACAATGTATCATTACCATATAGTATTACATTATATACCTTACCTTGGTTTTAAGTAAATGTCCATCATATGTGCCCATCACCGCCACTGTAGCGTCGCCCTGGGTAACCACAGCAACAGATGTCAACACATTGTTGGGTATGTATGTGGTAGCCATACTCCGTACACGATGTTGTGGTTGATGGTTTTGAATACCAATGTTACTCGAACTACCACAGAACTGGGCTTTGTCAAATGAGCTGGACTGAAGACAAATAGAATGAAGATGTCACAGAGGTTTTACATGTCCTTTTCCTCTAAGTATGTTTAGTAAACTGTTGAATATTGTTCCCAATATATCTCTACTTTGCTTGTATTCTAATTTCTGTATAAAATGTTCCCTATACCTTTACTTTAGTACATTTGCAGTCTGGTGGTATGTTTATACTTTGCTCTGTTAAATTATTCATATATATTCACTGTAACTGTATTTGTGGTTTACACAGAACCATGAAAACCATACACAGTTTCCTTATAAATATCTTCATCTATTCTAGTGCTAGTATTTAGCCAGAATGTGATCATCATGATTTGAATGATCTGTCAAATAGCAATCCAGGTATCAAATCAATTCATCAGGATCTACACCCAAAGAAAATTAAAGAAATACAATTGTACATTGATAAATTACACCTCAGTTTCAACACTAAATAAATATAAGCAGTAAATTGATCGATCAAAAAACATTTTAGTTAATTCTTTTTTAAGTACAGCTAATTGTAATGAAGGAGACTTCTCTTTCAGCAAACATAAGAACAGTTTTTGAGTATTTGTTGTGCAACACACTTTTTTTCTCCAAAACTAGTGTCAAATTAGGCTAGGCCTAACAATGGTGTGTTTCTTGTTTCCCGACTGACCCTACATTTTGACCGCCTACGCAGATCAGGCTTTTATACCAGTTTTAGTTAAGCACAGTTGAAGTCGAAATCCTTGCTCTATATATGTATAAGTAAAAATACTGGTTTATTTTTCGTAATTTGCACAGATTTTGTGTGTTGAAATTCAGTTTGAAGTTTGAGTTTGGTGTTTGAGGTGCACAAACTATTTTCAGTTTTATTTTCTGAAAGATCTTCGATTTGCATGGTCCACCATCTTGAATAGACAGCATTTTCTCCAGATCCGTTTGTACACAGAATGTATTTTATTCTTAATTAATAAATTAATAAAAGATGCTAAATAGATAAAATATCTTTAGGATAGGTTAATAATAAAATTGTGTTTAATTTTGCCTTTTTAAAAACTGAAGGTGTATTACACAATATTCCCCACCTACTCATCCTTAGTTTTTAAGACGACAAGACAAGACAAAATTATTTCAGGACCAATGTATTAGTCTATGTAACTTACTGCACACATCTTTGGGGCGGCCAGTCTCCTACCGTACACCCAGGCTGGTTGTATGGCATTTCCCAAAAAGCAGTCTTTTTGAAGACCTGAAAGGTTCCCATCTATTTCAGCAAAATCAAAAAAGCACATGACGGATCCCTCTTTTTCGTCTGGATTAGGATTAAGTTGTCTGTTAACACCAAATGTAACGAACAACTTTTTGTCCCATATTGAGAGTAGCTTCGGTGCTTCTGCAAGAAATGCATCAGTTGCAATCTCATATATTTTACCATCATGTTCGCACTGTAAAGGGAGTTCCGTGTAGGAAGCGTACGCTACATCGTTTTTACATATTTGTATTATTTTGGTTACAAAAACGTTGTTTTCTGTCTGATTACCGAATGGGTCCCTCATTTGTACAGAGATGTGGTATACGTAGTCTCCATACTCAAATGAATAGATGTAGAACGACTGGAACAAATGTTGGACAGAGTCGTCTGCTGTTAAATATGTCCCGTATGTTTTACCATGTACGTAATACAGCAAACTCCAGTATGAATCAACATAGTTAAACTCTCGTGTTGACATAATTTTTGGACGGAAATTAAAATCTCTGTTGTCCATTCCCATGGCGACATAAAGGACTTTTTCTGTACTACCAGATTGGTCATTAGGAGATCCGAATACCACGGAAACTGTGGAACGAGATGTAGTTCCGATATAATTCACACTGTCTGTGGCAACCAGAGTATGATTGGATGAAATATTGCTGAGGGAAAGACAGGAACACAGTCCCTGATTGGCTGAACCGCACATGAGTATAAAATCTTTTTGGTCATTAATTTCCATGACACGGACATGATTAGGTGTCAATGTTCGATCTTCACTGCAGTTCAAAGGTGACGGAGGACAGTCACTGTTGTCCAGCACTGGTCCAAGAATATGTTCCTGTACAACACCCAAGTCTTCATCAAAATGTAGGACCAAGTTTTTGCCTCCGACATACAAATGTCCATTTTGTGTATCCATGGTGATTTGAGTTAGAGGTTGATTCTCACTGCTTACATTGTACACGGTATAAAATGCCTCTGTATTGATGGGTGCGGACCACAACACAGCCAAACAAATATTAACAATAAGTATTTCCTTCATGGCTCACTGAGATTTTAGATACATAATGTAATTATTTGTTCATGATACAACCAAGTAAATTGACAGCGGATCAAACTTTACATCTTCAGTTCTCCATCCATGATTCACTTATATGCACAACGTAAAAATTTGTATCTTCTTGTATTCATTACCCATTGAGGTAGGATGATACATTATATTCATCAATTCAAAAGCTGCCTAAACTCCCTCTGTTCATGTGGGTTGTTACTGTCTCAATTTTGAATCTATAAATGAAATTAAAAGAACTTCAGTTAATCATTAAAACTATCAGCAAAACAAGCAGACCTGGAACAAACTGAAACAATGCCGAAATAATATGGCGAGGAATCTTGTATAGTTGTTTTGGTTTTAATTTTGAAATTAGGTGTAATGAATAATTAATCATTCTTTAAAATATTGATCATGTCCTGTAATGTATTTGTATCTTGTAATACATTGGCACTTATAGACTGTGGTTCAATGTAACATATGTAAAAACATTGATGGTAAAGTACTGCTAAGAAATTAATGCTGCCGATATAAAAAAATATTCAAACAATGTAATTATATAACAGGCTCATTTGGGCTTGGCATAGTAAAACTGATATACTTCAGTATATGATGAGCCTGCAGGTTCCTTATTCATCAACCGTTTCCATGCTCAAACTCAAATTCTGTGCTCAAGCTCAATTTTTTGCTCAGGTGATAAATTAACAAAAAATCACGTTAATATTGTGTCACTGATTTTGATGAATTTTGGAGAGACTTCAAGCTGAATACCATTTTGAGTGTTTGAGTGTGTCACATCAATTAAATGCTCGAGGTACTAGAAAGTTGGTTTTGGAATGGAAACTAAAATTGAACTTGAGCACGGTTTCATGAATACGGGCTCAAGATTGAAAACAAAAGCACTGTTGAGACAGATATAGGTATACTTTGTAATAGGACGAGGAATAGTGATAAAGATAGTGCCATCGCTGGGACTCGAACTCGCGACCCTTGGCTCTCCAGTCAGATGCTCTACCGCTAAGCTAAAGCGAAATTCCCTACAGCTGACGCTTGTAAGGCAACCAAATCAATGCACATCTTTTACACTATTCCCCCCTTTTTTCAAACACCAACCTAGGTTCTTTGACTCCCCGCCAAGGGTTCTCCTACCTTGAATGGGGAGGGTCAATGGCACCAATTTGTCATAGGATGAGGAATAGTGATAAAGATAGTGCCGCCGCTGGGGTTGGAACCTGTGACCCTTGGCTGTCCAGCCCGATGCTCTACCGCTAAGCTAAAGGGAAATTCCCTACAGATGACGCTTGTAAGGCAACCTAATTAATCCACATCTTTTACACTTTATACTGACCATGGCGGGCGGGTTTGGTGCATTAGATATATATTTTAATATTTCATATTTAACTATTATTTCCACTAGTCTTAGATAAATAAAAACTTTGATGTGTTCCATCCATTCCATTTTATTAAACTGATCCGATAAAAAAATATGGGTTCAAATTAAAAGTGTTATATAAAGTATAGTAGTGTCACAGACTCACCTTGCGTACACGTTGAACAAATAATAACAGGTTTTACGGGTAATGCACTTTTTTTATTACTAGGGAGACCCCTACTCGTTACCAAGCTACATTCTTAAATGTAGCGCTTCCTTAGATACGACAGCCGGAAGAGATTGTTACCGGGGAAGATTTCAAAACAAAAAAAGAAATAAAAGTATATTTTTTAAAATCTCAATTGAAAGCTTTTTAACTTGCACTGCCAGCTTTAACAGACAGTGTTATTGCAGTCTCTCTAATGGACAACACTGCCCATTAATTATATATATATATAAGTCATCAATAATCCACCAAATTGATACAGATACTGTCTAAGGGACAGCATTAACACAATAACCTGCAAGCAACCAAATTCATATAGATAATTTGCAATGGACAGCTTAATTATTGGAGTCGATCAATCAATTAATATGGATATACATTTTGTACTCTCTAACAGACAGTACCATCAAAGTCACTCAGCTGATCAACCAAATTCTTATGAATACTCGCTTCAGCGCTCCAAGTCATTGGTAATTGTCCCAGACCAGACTCGCTTCAGCGCTCCATGTCATTGGTAATTGTCCCAGACCAGACTCACTTCAGCGCTCCAAGTCATTGGTAATTGTCCCAGACCAGACTCACTTCAGAGCTCCAAGTCATTGGTAATTGTCCCAGACCAGCCTCACTAAAGCGCTCCAAGTCATTGGTAATTGTCCCAGACCAGACTCTCTTCAGCGCTCCAAGTCATTGGTAATTGTCCCAGCCCAGACTCACTACAGCGCTCCAAGTCATTGGTAATTGTCCCAGGCCAGACTCACTACAGCGCTCCAAGTCATTGGAAATTGTCCCAGACCAGACTCGCTTCAGCGCTCCAAGTCATTGGTAATTGTCCCAGGCCAGACTCACTACAGCGCTCCAAGTCATTGGAAATTGTCCCAGACCAGACTCGCTTCAGCGCTCCCTGTCATTGGTAATTGTCCCAGACCAGACTCACTTCAGCGCTCCAAGTCATTTGTAATTGTCCCAGACCAGACTCACTTCAGCGATCCAAGTCATTGGTAATTGTCCCAGACCAGACTCACTTCAGAGCTCCAAGTCATTGGTAATTGTCCCAGACCAGCCTCACTAAAGCGCTCCAAGTCATTGGTAATTGTCCCAGACCAGACTCACTACAGCTATATATGTACAAGTATACAGGGATACGTAAATGTACTCTGATCATGACTGCTTACCGCCGGTGGACTGCAGTCCAGACCACTTTATATTGTGAAATTGGACAAATATGTAAAATGCATTAGCCCTTATCCCAATCAAAGTGTAAACAAAACACATGCGACTAGTCCTCCTCGCGTTCTGGTTCCAGTGGTAACCGACTAGGACTCTTTGAAGGTTTTATTAGTCATTATTTTTTTATATCGATTCGAGACCATTTACTGATTTTGGCATTTACTTTCCGAATTGTCCCAGCAGTCCAGAGAGTATCCCTCCGCCACAAACATCATTATAATATAACCCGTCCACTTACGCTTAATCTGCTCCCATGGCCCCGGAGAGGACACACCCAGCCGTATAAGATCACAGTGCAATACTGCATACCTGTATATAACTGTGACATAAACCATGACACATACCTGTGCTGATCTCACCTGGTTGTTTAAAACTCTCTTTAAAATTGTTTTTCACTTGCTGGTGTTGACTTGCAGTCTCTATCGCCATTCCACACCACGTCCTTACCTGCAATTATCACAGAACTTTCACTTTGTCGCACAGGTGTGTTTTGGTACGGCCGAATTCACCGACATCCGGAAGTACCGTATGTGTATGGTTGATGCGTGACGTCACCAGTGAGGACCTCAGGTGGGATATCTTGTCATGATGAAGCAATGCAGGCAATGATAAGGTTTCAATAATTTTTAAAAAATCCGATAAGAGAAAATATTTTTTCAGTTAGTTACAAGCGCACACGACCGACACTTGTAGCTTTGCCGTATATTGGTAGAGCGTATTAAAGTACTGTACGGTATTCTATATATTATTTTCAAATTTATTGACCAAGAAAAGACTCATTTTGATGGCACGGTAAGTTTACTACGGGCATCAGTAATCGAATATATTTTATTGGTTTACAAAAATAATACACAATAAAAAATCAGGTACGCAATATTTGACGTTTTGTACTGTTTTACCTTTTTTGGGGTTTAATACCATATGATTTTTCCATATTAAAAAAAATCATTGTCGAGCGTAACGAGGCGTTTCTTCCTACTTCCGAAACATACATGGATTTTCAAACCAATAAAATATAGATGTCCCAAACCTTGGGACTCAATAGATCATCCCCTTACAATAATGTTTAAATAATGTGTATTGATGTATAAATATGGGAAGTATATCAGAAAACTTCTGTTTACAGACTTTGTGCTTTATTTTAGTTTTCTGATAATGTCTTTAAAAGATACATTTTTTCCTGTAACAAATGAAATAAATAAACAATTTATTTTTCACCTTTTTAACAAAAGTCACTGTAATTATCATTCTGGTAGAACGTGTTGTACACTTTCCACCTTGCTGGAGTTGCAATGGAATGGTTGGGAATAAGTTTAGGTTAAACTTTGTTTTATTCACATAACATATGTAATACATACTACAAATATGATTATACATAAATAATACACTTATATAAATCTGTTACCTTTCATCGTAACCAACATTATCAACTATAGCTTAGGGATAGTGACGTGAATAAATTACAGGGGAAGTTAGAAGAGAGTTGGGGGAAATGCAGTGTAAAAATATCGTACATGTACAAAATACGTTATATTCATAAAATCAGTGTATTGTGGTCAAGAAAAAATCTTTCTATTGCGTCATCGTTAATACACTTTATGATTGATTTTCATACTGTTTCAAGGAAGGTATATATATGCATATAAGTAAGATCTAAACAAACAAGCTGCACGATAATGCTAACATAAAATATACTCTGTGATAATCATAATCATGTGGATGTTTTTTCCCTACGCAGACAGTCGTTGTGATAGACTGTTCACATTCCATACACTATTGCTGATCAATTGTTCGTCACATCCCGTGCCTTAATATGTCATTCTCCTGTTTTTTCTTGTCCTCCTGGTATATCCGTTTCCATATGTCCGTTTCCACTAGAGTGTTTCCATCCACATGACTTACTTTACATATTTTATATGTTATCATATGAATACAAGAGTCATTGATTAAGAATCTTATTCAAAGATAAGATAATAAATCGGAAGTCAATAGATCTATTATTATGTTAGCAACTCGGCTATTTCATCTTACATAGGCTCGCACACAAACTTCCATGTATGCATACCCACACATATCATAAACACATATATCTATCATGCATACATACATACAGACATACACACACACGTACGTAACTACATACCTACCCACCTACATACATACATGAATTATATTTACTTGCGCACATGAGTGTGCATGGCTGCATGCATAATCATGCACCCACGTACGTAATGTATGGACTCCTACACACACACGCTCACACATGCATGCATACACGCATAGATGCATGCGTACATACATACATGCATACGTGCATATGTGAGCTACTCAGAATCCTTTTTTTTTTAAACAACATGTATACATTAATAACAGTAACATCATAATATAATATCACCCTATTGTTGTTGAAATCGCTTAGACTTAAGGATGTAATCCTGAACAGCGAGGACAATTATTTTGTTTTCTTAAGATAACGATTCATCGCCATATGATAATAATTTGACAGTTATTTGATACTGAAGGGTTTCAATGTGTAGTTGTCTGATGGCAGTGTATAAGGTTCAATCTATCAGGTAATGAGAAGTGTTTTTGATGCTGCCGCATGAGCAAAGAGGGGATATAACAATGTTTTTCCTATATAAATGTTCATTAAGAGAGCTGCATGACATGCGTAGTCTAGCATGGTATATTTGTCCTAAACGTGAGCCATATGAGTAGTGTTTTGGTGGAGTTTTTTTGTTGTTGCGTTTAATATGTGATTTAAATTGATAAATGGAAGGGTTTCTCCTGACGTTAATTGGAATAGAGTTCCAGCTATTGATAACAGAGGGCAAGAAAGATCTTTGATACACATTAGAATGGCAATGAATGGGAGCGATAGTTGTAACATCCGAATGTCTAGTATTATGGCTATGTATTCCAGTGACTGATTGTGGTACAAGACGGTTGAGGTATTTTGGTAGAACATTTTGTGAAAAATAATTAGTTTGTGTTGATGTCTACGTTCAATTAGTTTGTTCCCGCCTACTTCTATATACAGTTTGTCTATGCTTGTGAGTTTGGTTGCACCAGATACAATCCTAGCTGCCTCAGTATTTACTTGTTCCAGTTTAGCACTATATTCATCGGTAATATTATCCCACACTACGTCAGCATATTCAATAATAGGTCTGATAAATGAAAAGTAAATAGTCTGTAATGTGTTTCGGTCAAGTTTGAATTTTAGAGAACGTAGAATATTTATTCTGACTGCGGCTTTATTAATAATGTAGTTTACATGTTTGACCCAACTCCCGTCATTCGAAAAAAGTACTCATAGGTGCTTGTGTACTTCGACATTTGTTATTTCTTCATTATTCATGTACAATGGTTGGTGATAAGGTCTTGTGGGTTTTTTTTTACTAATTAACATACTTTCGGGTTTTTTAGGATTGAAGCTTACCAACCACGATTTCGACCAGTTTGTTAGTGTCCTGTGATGACAATCATGTATAGTGATGTATCGTCTGCAAATAATTTAATAACAGAATTTATGTTGTTAACGATATCGTTTATATAGATGAGAAATAGAAGCGGGCCGATAATTGACCCTTGAGGAACCCCTGCTTTGACTTCAACCCAATCAGAATGTGCATTATTAATTATAATTCTCGATCAGTTAAATAACTTCTAAACCATTTGAGAAGGGACCCAGCGATGCCTATTTGGGATAACTTATACAAAAGACCCTCATGCCACACCCGGTCGAAGGCTTTGCTTATGTCACCGAAAATAACTCTAATTTCTTTCCCTGTGTCTAAAGCGCTCATAAAGTCGTTTGAAATGCTGAGTAATTGGTTGACAGCTGAGTCCCCTGATCTAAAACCTGATTGATTATTGGTGAGAATTTGATAGTCAAGTAGGTAATTATATACGTATTTATACACACACCTTTCAAATACTTTCCCTAAGATACAGAGTAATGAGATTGGTCGGTAGTTTTTAACATCGTTTCGACTATCTTTTTTGTGAACAGGTAAAATATTTGCTTTTTTCCATAAGTTCGGGAAGATTCCCACAGATAATGATTTGTTGAAAATAGCCGCTAACGGCTCGCTTAGAGGAACGGCTGCCTCTTTAAGTATTTTTGGACTAATGAAATCAGATCCAACAGCTTTACTGCTGTCAAGGTGAGAAAGAACCTCATGGACATCAGTTTTCGATATATGAATTGCATTTAGGTTACTTTGATTTTGAATTTCTATGGGAGGAGGGATATCAATTGAAGAGTCATCAACTGAGGACTGACTAGAAAACTATTCATTAAACACGTTTGCTTTATCGACATCGTGCTCATAGTAATTATTATCATAAAGAATAGCTGGGATTTCATCAGATTTAACCAATATCTTGCATAAATAGTTTTACGGTCTGCCACCAGGATTTACTCTTAAAATCTGGATCGACTAATTTAGTGGATAACTTGTTATAACGTTTAATTTTTGATTGTCTAATGATATTTACACACTTATTACGAGTCTGTCTGAACTTTAACCAGTCTGCAGATTTGTTAGTTACTTCAGCCGTTTTATGTTTTTTTTTACGTTTAGATATCATAAGCCGTATTTCATGATTCATCCATGGATGGTCGTTTTTTCTTATAAGGACGTTTTTACTAGGGACAGAAGAAGTTGTACAAGCATTAATATGATTATTCAGGAAGAGAATTACTGAATCTATGTTAGCCACATCGGTGAGTGACAAATCGATTTCAGCCAGTAAATTTCTCAGTTTATTGTAATCGCCATATTTATATAACCAGATCTTCCTTCTGTAACAATCAGATACGGTCTTTTTAATATTTAGTGACGCATAAATTGGACAGCGATACCATATCGGTTGGTCTAGAAAAGATTCTCCTACGTATGATCCGTCTATCATGAAGTTGTTGTTTACTAAAATAACATCAATTAATGATGAGGTGTGTTCAGTATAATGAGTACACTCTGTAATTAATTGCTGTAGACCGTAAACGGTCAAAAAAATTTCTAGATAATTTGAATTATGGGTTCGGGCTAACTGGTTTACATTTAGATCACCAGTTATAACTATATTGTTTATACCTGTGTTACTAGCCTTTTCGACAGATTCCCACCAGTTAATATTATAGTTTGGAGGTCTATAATATGTTCCCAGTAGAATATGTATTCCACGTGTAACTAACTCAATCCACACACATTCTATTTGATTAATTTCCAAATCAACTCTACGCTTAAAAAATATATTGTTTTTCACGTAAACCGCTACGCCCCTCCTGCTTGGTCGCTCCGACAGTAGCAGGCTGGATTTTTAAAACCCGGGATGTTTATAGATGAATTTATGTCGGAGTCTGTAAGTTCAAGTTCAAGTTCAAGATATTTTATTAAGTATTTCAAGGCCAACTAGCCCATAGTACAATTTGCACAGTACATAATAACCATATTCACACAATTTTTACATCAAAAACAATTTCTGCAAAGTACCTTATAACGTACAATTT